CAAATAGAAGGTTCCAAGAGACATTCTACATAGTCTTCTTCTTTATGCATTTTCTAATTATGTATATCCATGTCTACAGCATTGTTTCTCAAAAAAGAAAGGAAGAAAAAAATACTGTGTACAAATAACACACACAAACACATAAACATACACACACACACACACACACACACATACACACACACACACACACACACACACACACACACACACACACACACACACACACACACACACACAGTTGCTTATGCAATGAATGACAATATACATAACTTAAAGCTATAACTCTATTCATCTCAGGTTAGCTTCGTGATTTGAGAGGTGGGGGGGAGGGACAGAATCACCCACTTAACCCCAAGCTGATATGTCAACAGTAATTGCAGATATAGGTTAAATATAAAATGTACTTCATAGATACTGCTTTACCACGAAGCAGAGAATCTTGTTTGTATGAGTGATTCAATATTGAATAAATCAGTTCAAACACACCTCTTACTAAATATCACCAACACTTATTTTTTGATATGTGCATTTTGAAGTTCATATATGTTGTAACTCTAAGCATATACAGTCTCACATAATACCTCAATATTACACAATATCATACCAAACACAACATAATGTGACATATGAAACAAACACAATATAAAGCCAAAAAAAAAAAAAAAAAAAAAGAGAGAGAAAAAAAATTACTGATTATTATCTTTCTCTTATTCTTTTTTATTACATGTTATTCTGTTTATATTTCAATTCGTATATCTACTTCCATCTTTCTGGGTAGCATATATACCCATACCCCATGTGACGAGCCCACACTACATCATGTATACCATTTCTGCTGTGACTGAAGAGTTACAGTCCCTCAAAAATAGTCTTAATTCACGCTTTAGCCTTTAGCTTTAGTGCACGGTGTGGAGTTTAGTATATTGTGTTAAGCAACCATCAACACTGAATTAATACTGCATGGTTCAATATAACATTAAAATGATGATGATGTGTAACTTTTTCAGTTACCATATAGTATTTATATAAAAGGAGAAGAAAAGAGGTGGTTACCACATAAATTCAATCATTAATGAATGATAAATAGAAAGAGAAAATTTTGTCTTTCCTTATTCTGACCTGAAAATCCATGCAACCATGGCCTTTTCAGGAAATATGCTCCTTTATTACTTTCTATGGATAACAGGAATGGATACACATGTACAAGCTATTTCGTGAGGCAGTCTGTGTTTCCTTTTATCTGAATACAATGCTCACATAATAGTAGGTATCATTAATAAGTACTGAACCTGAAGGACAATATAAGACATGTCAAAACCACATCATGAGAGAGCAACTACTGTGGTACCTATAGGCAATGTGTAATGTGAAACATATTTTAAATTAAAACCAAAATTAAGATTTACATAATGATATTACGAAACACAGTAAAACACAAGTTTTTATTATATATTCACAGCAGAAAATGGGAAGGCAACAGAATGCAAAACCAGCTTTAATCATTATTCCTTTTAATTTGATGCAACTTCACAGCAGCTGCAATCCTATCCAGACAGACAGAGATTTCCAGTCAAAAAAAAGTATGGGAATATAACAGCCCTTCTAAACTTTCACAGATTAAAATGATATGGGCAATACCTAGATTCCGTAGTGTGTTAAATTTTGTAGCTAAATTTCACGTTCCTCTCATTCATCTGGTAACTCCAAGTTTATCATTTGAGCATGTCCCCTGTGTTTATTTCATTTCAATCTCCAGTAAAGGTAAATTCATATATAGTGCAGGTGGGAGGCAGGGGAAGAGTGCCACAGTTTTGGGTGACATCAATGAGAAGTGGTTAGTAACCAATGAAATACAATAAGGAAACCATCAAGCTAAATAAAAGCCACACAAATAACAACTTAGACACAGTTCCAGATAATAATTTAAAGTAATTAGATGGTAATTTAAATATTAGTAATTTAAATATAGTAATAGTAATTGAAAGTAATTTAAAGAGATAGTAATTTGAAGTAATTTACAAAAAAATTTAGTCTTCTTTTTAGCATTTTGGACTAAAATAAAACTAATCTATCACAGTGTAGACCTCTTTCTCTTCTAATCACTAGTTTTTGCATTCATGGAACTAAGATCTGCATAAAATAATATATACATATACATACATACACACAAATAAATGTATGTATATATATATGTGTATCTATATCTATATCTATCTATCTATATATATATACACATACATATATGTATGTATATATATATATGTCTATATCTATATCTATATTTATCTATCTATATACACACACATATATGCATATATATATATATATATATATATATATATATATATATATATATATATATATATATACACACAAAATACATATATGTGTGTGTGTGTGTGTGTGTGTGTGTGTGTGTGTGTGTGTGTGTGTGTGTGTGTGTGTGTGTGTGTGTGTGTGTGTGTGTGTGTGTGTGTGTGTGTGTGTGTGTGTGTGTGTGTGTGTGTGTGTGTGTGTGTGTATATATATATATATATATATATATATATTATATAATACTATATATATAGATATATATATATATATATATTACGTATGAGTATACATATAGTGCGTGAATTAGGGTATGTATCTTTAAGTTAGTATGGACGGGAAGTAGATATAAGGGTATGATCTAAGTAAGTTGAGGGATGCGGAATGTGTGTGGTCAGGGTGAGTGATATGGGAGTTGAGTAGGTGGATATTGATGTTGATAATATGATATATATGGATTATAGGTCGATATAGGGTACCTAGTAGTAGAGAATATGTATATATTGTGAAGCACGA